CATGAAAATGGTGTTCTGCTTAATAATGTGGAACACCCTCCTTTAGTAGTTTTTCCTTAAATTGGGCTCACCTGGCAATCTAATTATCACAGGTGTCCGAGATTGTTTCCAGTGATCAAAAGAGCCCCGAGACACAATGCCATCCATGAGTTAGACTGAAAAACTAAATATTTAATCTTTGTGACACTTAAATAGAATTTGCATAATAATTTGGAACACAGTGTAAATCCTTTGCCCATCCCACGAGGAACGTTAGCTTATCTATCTATATCCAGAATTAACACAGTCAGAGTCAGACTGTTATAGAAATCCCAGAGTCACCAAACAGGGAGAATTAAACCTGCGCGTTCCACATACCCACAAATGACCACGCAGAAGATAAAGAGATGGATTTTTGCAATGAAATGGACAACTGGTGTTCCTGAAAGGGGTTTGGTCCGCTCGCTATTTCTATTTTTGTGGTTTTGTCTTTTCTTTTTCATTTGTAATTTTTGACTTTTGTTTCTTGTATTGTTTATACCAGCGATGTCGTTGTCTTTGTAATAAACTGCAGTTTGCAGAAAACAGATAATAATAATAATAATAATAATAATAAAACAGCCGTTGGGTTTATCTCTGTATATTCTGCTTTATCCAGATGTTAGTGGCTGCTTAAGGCATAAAATGAAACCCCATCAATTTGTATTATTATTGAAGATAAAAGCCTATATGCATTTTGGCCCCCGTACCATTTCTCAGTGTGTCTCCCGGCGCGGTGCCGCCATCTTTAAATCTTCTTTTATCAGACACGCAGTTTATTCAACCAAAGACGTGAAGGTAAAATAGAGTGAGTTCACCTTCACAAATCCTGCTTTTGTTTACAATTCACGGCATCTGAAAAATGTGCTCAGGGCTGGGTCCAGCTGTTCACATTCTACATGGTATTGGCGGATATGTGGTGCTTCTCACAGAAGCAGACTTAAAGCAACACTCCTACCTCCATAACGATAACTTGGAGTTCGGGAACCCAGTAGGTCTGCCTCAACTGTGATGATGTGTCTTAAAAGGACACTCTAGGCACCAGAACAACTTCAGCTTAATGCAGTGGTTATGGTGCAAAGAGACAGTCCC